GAGGGGGGAAAAAACATCCCTTTTAGAAAACACTGGAGCCGCTGTCTGTGCACTGGGATTTTTTTTTTTTCCTCCTTCCCTCGCCTTCGCACAAAGCAGCTATTACTGGCCCCAACCACAACAAATTAATGGGGTGGGAGAGGGAGGTGTGAATGGAGGGGTCTGTACGGCGAGCCCCCCCCTCGCCGGGAGGAGGGAACCCCGAGCTGACCCCTTGCCCTGCAGCAGCCCCGGCAGGCAGGAGGAAAGGGAATTTAACCCGGAGAAAGATCCAGCAGGAGAAAGGTGGGTTTGCCCCACTCAGGCTGAGGTGCCCGTGTCATCTCCTGGCCTCCCCTCTCTCCACATCCCCGCAAAGGTCTCCTGCTCTGCTCGCCCTAGGACCACTGGTCCCTTTGATGCTTCCTCCCACCGCAGCTCTGCCCGAACGTTTCTTGGACTTCGGGGCCTTTTGAGTTTTTTCCTGGGGACACTGATCTCATCAGGACGAGGACAACTCCGCGACACCGTGGAGGCCAGGAACACATAAGCCTTCCTCTCTGCTTTGCCTCGGCTCCCTGCCCGAGGGGCACCTCCACGCGCTGCTCGGGGACCACCTGTTTGCTTTGAGGAGACGCCCGGGCACTAAGGCAGAGAAGATCTGCCTCCGATGCTCCGACTGTGAAATAAAACCATCGCAAGGGACGCTCCTCTCCCCCTTCGCCACCGGGCCCGGCACACCTCACACCCTCTCCGCAGCTCCTGTGTCGAGCTGACGGCAACGCGGTCGGTGAGAAAGCGACCGAATCAAAGCTGCATTGTGTACGAGGGAAACAAAGGCGGCCTTATTACGGAAATAGGTGGGGATTCTTGGAAGGCTTCCCCTGACTGCAAAGAAATACACTGTAAAGCGATGCACAAAGACAGACCGGGGAGCCGAACCTCTGGGTGCCCACGGAGACCTAAGGGACACGGAGGAGATGAGCCAACGTAGGCTGAGGGACAAGCACCAGGAGGAAATGTTTAGAGACGTTAGGGTCTCTAAAGCGAGGGTGGTGGGGAATAGCTGACAGCGAGGTGTTAGAACCCATCGCCTGAGAACACCTAGAAGACACATTGCAGACAAGGAGCATAACCTGTGGCTCATCCCCCACCTACAGATGTGCGTTGGCCTAAAGGAAGAGCAGCCCAGGGGACACCACACCAGCCCTGGCCAATGCAGGAACGTCACTTGGGTCTCCTCCACTTGGCCACAACAGACTCAGGTGTCCTGGGAAGCGTCAAGGACCAAGGAGCTGACACGCATTGGACGTGTTACCTTTCCCAGCTCTGCCTCAGCTTCCCCACCTGTAAAACGGTGGTGACTCTAGTGATGTCCTCCACGACCTTCTCAATCTGGGGACAGAAACACCACGAGGACACGCGCCACCTACGCCCGAGCTCTGTGGAGAGCCAGGGATGACTCTGCTGGGATGGCTCTGCCCTTGCGCTGCCCGATCCTCTTCCGCAGCAGAGCCCAGCGCTGCAGTTCTAAGGAAGAAAAAGGAAAACCGTGGCATCCTGGTGAAGCTCCAGCGGGGACCAGCTCCTCGTGGCGAGTGGGAAAGACTCTGTGTCCCCCAGGAACGTACCAGGGCTGGACCTCCTACCCCCAGCTCGCCTGCCAACCGCTATGGCACCACGCTGGGAGACTCCAAGTTCACTTTCAAAAAAAAAGTTGGCATCCCTGCATATTTGCAAGGTCAAGGCACAGAAAGCCTTCTATAAGCCTAAACCCTTGTTTTCAAGGGCCTATTCTTTTACAAACTGATTATGAAAGCAGGCTACATATTCTTAACAAGCCCCTTTTCACTCCGGCTTTCAATTCCCTCCAGTGTATAATGTGCATGTGTATTCTTGCATGGCAGGCCCTTACATACTGTTTTGATTGTTATCGTCTTGCCATGAAAGGGCCGATTGTTTTGGGTTCCCGAGATTACATCACGGCTCCCACTCGGGCGGCCCCGGCGAGGTCGAGGTGTTTGATCAGGGCTCGCACAAGCCCCTTTTCACTCCGGCTTTCAATTCCCTCCAGTGTATAATGTGCATGTGTATTCTTGCATGGCAGGCCCTTACATACTGTTTTGATTGTTATCGTCTTGCCATGAAAGGGCCGATTGTTTTGGGTTCCCGAGATTACATCACGGCTCCCACTCGGGCGGCCCCGGCGAGGTCGAGGTGTTTGATCAGGGCTCGCAGGTGGGAAGGAGCTCGGCGGCGGCGGCGGCGGCGAGCGCG